AACTCCTGACCTCAGGTGGTCCGCCTGCCTCAGCTTCCCAAAGTGCTGGGATGACAGGTGTGAGCCACCGCACCTGGCCGGGCTGTAGAGTTCTTGAATGAACTTGCTTGGTGGTTGAGCTCCCTGATGATGTCCCAGATTTGGGCATTTGCTGCTTGGCAGTGCACACCTACAGCAAGCACTCCATGGACACTCACTCCCAAGCTAGATCTTGATTAGCCTAGGCCACAGTGAGCTTAGTAGTGGCTGCTGTTCTAATAGAAATTCAAAGGTAAGAAAAGTCTCTGATAAGTTTATTTAAAATAAATGTTGTTACAGTGGAATGGAGTAAGATCAACAAAGTCTATTACTGTGTAAACAAAAATTAGAAAGTTAACAGATTTCTAAGATAAAGAACAAACAAAATGAACAACCTCTAACTTTCATATTGAGTTCACCATCCTGGGACAGCATGGTATAAGACCATAGTATGGATAAAAGTACTTGACCTTTGAATAGGTAACTTGAAAACACTTACCGTCCTAAAAAAAAAAAAAAGGATTAACTGGCTGAATACAGAAAACTTGAGCTAGTGAATCTCTGATTTGCCAGAATTGCTCCTAAAGGCAGCAGAGCCTTCACTCCCCCACCCCCATAAACTGAAGCAGCTTTCTTTGAAATCTCTGGATCAGTCTCCAAAGCACTATTATCCATTTTGTTTTAATATATTAAAAGTGTATTCTCTCTCCTCTCATCCCCAAATCCGAGTACATGTAATGATTACCTCTTCAGGGAGAGGCACCCCGTCTGCCCCATGGCTTTGAGCATGGCCCCTGATGTGAGAACCAAACCATGTTTTAGCTCCTGTTGATGATTATTCACCCAGCTGGAGTTTCCCTCTAACTGCAGGTCCATTTCATTAACAGGTGGGGAATCACAACATAATAAAGACAACCAGACCTTGTTTTGGCCTAAAACCTGACCCACTTTATGAGTAAAGGAGGAAAAAAAAAAGCCCCCAGTATGGCCAGTCACCCACATACCTCGTAACTGAAATAGAAGTATCCAGTCTGGTGGGCAAATTGCCAAAAGCATTCCGTGCCTCCTGGAGGGATCATGATGGCAAAGTCATGTCGATCAGCTCCACGGAAGAGTGGCTGGTCCCCAGAGCCACTTAGAGGTTCTGTCTTCTGGCTCCTGGCAGACGTCACTAGATTCAGAATGACCAGCCCAGCCCCAAAGAGCAAGGGGGACATGCTGCTTTCTGGAGCCCCCTCTGCAGGTGAACTGCTCGCAGCCCAGGGGAATCAAGTCGTTCAGACAACCGCTGGGCTAATGATTAACTCCACAAGTCACATTTAGGCCCATTTCAGGGCCACACATAGATATTCATAATAGAACTGCCATGATACTCCTATGTTTGGCTCGCAGGAGGAAGTTTTGCTTTCACCTCAAAAACTCAGTGGCTTACCAAACCTACTTCATGGGTGCTACATAGGTCTACCACCTCAGAACAGGTCTCTCCACCCCTCCTTAGGGCTGTCATTTTTTAGTTCCTGCTTCTTGGGGATATAATACTGGGTAAGTTTACAACTTTCTAAATACACGGACAACAAGTTGGCTGGGGAGACTCTTCTCTTACATCAAATTGCTCCTATAAACACATGGGGCAACACTTCTCTCTGCCCAGTGCTGCAGCTCAGAGCAAATCACAGCATATGTGTGCAAAGATGTAAGTGGCTGAATACAGTGCCAGGATGGTGCTCAGACCCCTCCACTGACAGTGCTCGTCCTGATCCCTTCCACCTAACAGTCACCTAAAGCTATCCAAACCCACCGAAAGACGATTATATTATCCAAAGCCTCAATCTTTCCTTTTTTTTTTTTTTCTGAGACAGAGTGTAGCTTTGTCACCCAGGCTGGAGTGCAGTGGCACGATCTCTACTCGCTACAACCTCCACCTCCCAGGTTCAAGCAAGTCTCCTGCCTCAGCCTCTGGAGTAGCTGGAAGTACAGGTGCCTGCCACCATGCCTGGCTAATTTTTGAAATTTTAGTAGAGACGGGGTTTTTTCACGTTGGCCAGGCTGGTCTCGAACTCCCAAGTAATTTGCCCGCCTCGGCCTCCCAGAGTGCTGGGATTACAGGCATGAGCCACCACGCCCGGCCTTGATCTTTCATTCAGGTCTTCTTCAGCACCCATGGGGGGAAAAAGCTATCCAGAACCCACTTAAAGACAATTGTATTATTCACATCCTTAATCTTTATTCTTTTATTGATGATTTCAACACCCACCTCCTTTATGGCAGGCACTGAGCTAAGATTTACCTGCATCTTATTTTATTCTCACAATAGTCCTGTAAGGGAGGTATTGTGAGCTCTGGCATTAGAGATGAGGACACAGACATTCAGAGATTCCAGTGATGGCTCACCGTCCCACAAGCACACCCAGCAGAGCTGGGTCCCCGGTGGGGGCTCATGCTCTTAACCACCAAGCAGGACAGTGTTTCTCATCCTCAAGCTGTCAGTCTCTGAGTTCTGACACTGCCTAAACAGCTTTTAGTCATAATCTATATTTTTTGCTTCCTTGAGATGGCATCACTCTGTCTTCCAGGCTGGAGTGTAGTGGCACAGACACTGCAGCCTCACCCTCTTGAGCTCAAACGATCCTCCCACCTCAGCCTCCTGAGTAGCTGGACCCACAGGAGTGCACCACCACACCTGGCTGATTTTTGTATTGTTTGTAGAGACAAGGTTTTGCCATGTTGCCTAGGTTGGTCTCAAACTCCTGGGCTCAAGTGATCCCCATGCCTTGGCCTCCCAAAGTGCTAGGATTACAGGTGTGAGCCACTGCGTCTAGCCTTGGTCATAATCTTGAAAAACAAAAAACAAAACAGCATCAACACCTTCCAGCAATTATTTGCATTGACTCAAAGTGTCACAAGCTAATTAAGCAGAAAACAGACTCTATATGTGTGGTTCAGTTCTAGCAAAGGCCAGATGACATCCCAGCACTCTGGGAGCACAGTGGCTCTGTGGCAGTCTCGCCCAAGTGACGGGTAGAAGAGTCTGGGAACTTCTATCAGCACACGTGGCACAGGCACCCCCCACCCGAGTCGCACCACCATCACAGTCCTAGCACTGGTCATGTCATAAGCAGTGACTTGGTTTCGGCGAAACAATCTTCAGTTCATAGTAAGTTTCATAGTTCTACAGAAGCTGTAAGCATAGTTTTATCTTTGTACACATTTCAGTAACTATAATAAAAACAACACTGAATTACGTGAAAAAATATTAACGAACATAGGCATTCTCAAGTTTAAGAAACACTGATACCGGGCACAGTGGCTCTCGCCTGTAATCCCAGCACTCTGGGAGGCCGAGGCGGGCAGATCACAAGGTCAGGAGATCGAGACCATCCTGGCTAACACGGTGAAACCCCATCTCCATTAAAAATAGAAAAAATTAGCCGGGCTTGGTGGCGGGCGCCTGTAGTCCCAGCTACTTGGGAGGCTGAGCCAGGAGAATGGTGTGAACCTGGGAGGCAGAGCTTGCAGTGAGCCAAGATCGCGCAACTGCACTCCAGCCTGGGTGACAGAGTGAGACTCCATTTCAAAAAAAATAAAAAACAAAATGAAATAAAGAAACACTGATTAGGATCTTTTCTTTCCCTAAATGCATCAGTTTCACTCTTCTACCTGGAGAGCACCATTGAATCACATGAGAGTTAAGGGGAGAAAAGCTTCTGGATTCTAATCCGGTTCAGAGGGAGACCAAACCAGCGGCAGGCAGAAGGCAGCTGGCCCAAAAGGAACTCAAGTTCTCAACTTCTCCCTGTGGTTTCAGTTGGGGTTGGTTGATAGAAGAACAATAGGTACTAAACCCCAAAATGCAGTTAATAGGTAATGAAGCTGTATGAAGATTCCCACTTATAACTAATGGATGAATTTTTTTTTTAATTTTTTTTGAGATGGAGTCTCACTCTATCGCCCAGGCTGGAGTGCAGTGGTGCAATTTTGGCTCACAGCAACCTCCACCTCCCGAATTCAAGCGATTTTCCTGCCTCAGCCTCCCAGGTAGCTGGGACTACAGGCGCCTGCCACCATGCCCGGCTAATTTTGTATTTTTTACATTTTTAAATTTTAAATTTTTTTTTTTTTTGAGGAGTTTCACTCTTTTTGCTCAGGCTGGAGTGCAATGGCATCATCTCGACTCATCACAACCTCCGCCTCCCAGGTTTAAGCAATTCTCCTGCCTCAGCCTCCTGAGAGGCTGGGATTACAGGCACCCGCCACCACGGCTGGCTAAGTTTTTGTATTTTTAGTAGAGATAGGGTTTCACCATGTTGGCCAGGCTGGTCTTGAATTCCTGACCTCAGGTGATCCTACCCTTCTTAGCCTCCCAAAATGCTGGGATTACAGGGGTGAGCCACGGCTCCCAGCCAGTTTTGTTTTGTTTTGAGATAGAGTCTCACTCTGTTGCCCAGGCTGGAGTGCAGTGGCAAGATCTTGGCTCATTGCAAACTCCATCTCCCGAATTCAAGCGATTCTCCTGCCTCAGCCTCCTGAATAGCTGGGATTACAGGAGCCCACCACCACACCCAGCTAATTTTTGTATTTTTAGTACAGATAGGGTTTCACTGTGTTGGCCAGGCTGGTCTCGAACTTCTGACCTCAAGTGATCCTCCTGCCTCCACCTCCCAGAGTGCTGGGATTACAGGCATTAGCCACCATTCCTGGCCTAATGGATGAATTTTAAAACTTTGGCATTTCTTTTTAAACTTTGCCTTTCACTCACTCAGAAGTGAGAAAAGGGGAATTCTTTTGTCCCCAGAAATGATATATGAGGAAACTGACAGGTTAAGAGGAAACTTCCACATCATCTGTTTGACATAGCTTCCAAGGATTAAAACATTCAACACAGTCTGACATCAGCTTCTTGATCAAAATAGTTCAGCAAAGTTTGTTCAACATTTTGCTACCTCCCTCTGTGAATACATGCTGTGCTGCAATTAAACAGCTACTTACAGTTGAGAGAAGCAAGACTTTAATGAAGAATGCTACAAGTATGGACAATAATTAGTTCTCATCTTTTAAAAAAAGATTACAGAAAACACTTTACTGAAATTTTTTGCTAAAAAGACAGTCTTTAAGGGTGTCCGGGAGAGACAGCAAGCACAACACAGTACAAAAGGAGAAGGGAATGTTGAATTCCAGTGCAAGACACGAACACAGCACAATTAGGGAATTAGAAGGAAGCAACCATTTCACAAAGAATGAAATTAGGCATTTATATTCAATCAGGATTTTTTTTTAAGCTTTAAAAGTCCAGCATAAGGAAGGGAATTGGGAAAAGAGGCAGGGGACAGGGGGCAGGGGGTGGGGGAACTAAGCTTATCTACAGTCACCATTTTACCAAAAAACACACTGGTTCAACCACATAAGAAGTGGAGGATAAACCTGCCTACATAGCCCAGCAGACGGTGAGAGCAAATGCCAAGGCAGACAGGTCTAGGGTTGATGTCACAACTGGCTAAAGAGTTTTTAAAGGGAATCTTATTCCACAAGGACTGGTCTCTCATCAACCTGGGTTCATAACAGACTAAGTTCCTTTGCATTTGCCATCAGAAGGCCAGAACTTGACGTGGAAAAAATTTACTCCAAATAATACTCACATTGCTGGTTTTAACAGGTCATGGAGTCACAAGTGGCTCCTAATAGACTTCACCATTTCCTAGGAGAAGGTTCTACAGATTACCAGGGATTTAAATTTAAGCAAACCACTAAAGAAGGGAAACACTAATGATATTCTGGCACTGCACAAGCTCTGTGCCTGTCATCTCTGCCAAGGACATGGGTGGACTTGGCTCTGCTTCTTAGCTCCATGATCTCCAACAGTGATGAAGTGGAACTGGGACCTCCCCCACATTGAAGGAGGTTGCCCAAAATTCTCATCCCAGCCCAGCTTCTGAAAGAAACAGCAGACTATCAGGGGCTATTATTAGGAACCATGCTCCTGTGAATTCTGTGGAAATGAAAGCCTGTTTCAGTTCATGCCAAGTCTTTTCATGGTCCGCCAGCGATCCTTAATCATCACAGCTGTTCGGTTAACAAATGGGTAATTTTTAGAAATGGCAGCCCAGTTTCCTTCCCCATATTTCTGCACTCCAGCCTTGACCCACTCGCTTTCTTCTACAGTCCACTTCTGCAAAAGAAAACCAAAAGATTTATCACCACCTTTCCTCTCCACTTACTTACATTTTCTCCAGTGTAGTGATAAGGTAAACTCAAGAATCCCAGGAGAATCATCTGAACCTGAAAGCACGGCTTATGTTTTTAAAACATGGAATGGACAGGATACGAGCACTGTGGATCTGGACATTGAGGAATTCTCGATGTCCTGCCATTTGATCCTCAAGTAACAATCATTTCTGCATTCCAAACTGCAAACATATCTACATCATTCACGATCTGGAAAATGTGTCCTCTGTCCTCCTAGGCTTTTCTTCCAGAAGATGACTATTACTTTAACTTAGTTTGGATTATCTGAAAAATCTCAAAAAAAGGTTTTTACTGGGTACATAAGCAGTCTATGCCTATGAGACATGGGGCTTATTTTACCTCTGCTCTACCCACATAACCAGTATCAGAAAAGAGAATTTTAAATTACCTGCTTTTTTGTTATATTGGTTGTACTGTCTTCATCTGGTGCTGCTGGAAAACATTAAAAGTAGACTCATTTCAGAGTTCACCTTTCTCTGCACAAACCACAAGAAAAAGACACAGAATGTCCCCAAAGGGAAAACTTTCAAATTTCACAAGCATTGAGAAGAGAAAGGATATCACTAAAGGATAATTTACTTTTCTCCTTTGTTTGCAAACACCAGTCACTTCAGCCTATGAGAACCTGTACAATGCAACTGCTTTACAAACAGGCATCCATAAATGCTGGCTAGTGATGGGTTTCAAGCTCTTCAGTAAAATCAACATTGTTTTTCTTTTTTTGTTTGTTTGTTTTGAGACAGAGTCTCGCTCTGTCTCCCAAGCTGTAGTGCAGTGGCACGATCTTGGCTCACTGCAAGCTCCGCCCTCCAGGTTCATGCCATTCTCCTGACTCAGCCTTCCAAGTAGCTGGGACTACAGGCACCCGCTACCACATCTGGCTAATTTTTTGTATTTTTAGTAGAGATGGGGTTTCACCGTGTTAGCCAGGATGGTGTCAATCTCCTGACCTCGTGATCCGCCCGCCTTGGCCTCCCAAAGTGCTGAGATTACAGATGTGAGCCACCACGCCTGGCCCCAACATCGTTTTCTAAAATTACTGAGAGAACATCATATTTCAAACCCTTATGTATATGTATGTCTACATATACATATAGGTATTAGTGTGTGTATATATATATACAGTCGTATGTTGCTTAACAATGGGGATATGTTCTGAGAAATGAATCATTAGGTGATTTCATCCTTGTGTGACTTACACAAACCTAGATGGTAGAGCCTAGGCTCTAGCCTGCAACTTCTTACCTACCCTAACTCATGCCCCCTTGTCTAACAACATGGCTTTCTCAACTTTTAAAGGATTGGAGTCATCCACTGGACTTAGGAACCAAAAACATTGGTGCAACTCCAAATAAAAGTAACAAACATGTATTCTTCCACTGCTATAACAGTCCTAATCCCCTTAATCTTACCGATTACTATTACCTTAGCCAACCTCTGCAAAAAAGGAATATGCCTAGGATATATGGTGTAGCCTATTGTTCCTACCCTACAAACCTGTACAGCATGTGACATGCAACTGTGACACAATGGTAAATATTGTGTATCTAACATATCTAACATATCTAAACATAGACAAGGTAATGCATTGCACTACAATGTTACAATGCCTATGACATCTACAATGTCACTAGGTGATACGAATTTTTGAGCTCTATTATATACAACCTAATGGGACCACTGTCACCATCTATGCAGTCCATTGTTAACCAAAACTTCGTTATGTGGCACATGACTATAGGTGTGTTTATATGTATAATTTCTGCATTATAACCCCCTGCTAACCATTGCTTTGAAATCACATGGTTTTGGCCGGGTGCGGTGGCTCATGCATGTAATTCCAGCACTTTGGGAGGCCAAGGCGGGTGGATCATTTGAGGTCAGGAGTTTGAGACCAGTCTGGCCAACATGGTGAAACCCCTTCTCTACTAAAAATACAAAAATTAGCTGGGCATGGTGGCACATGCCTATAGTCCCAGCTACTTGGGAGGCTGAGGCAGGAGAATCGCTTGAACCCAGGAGGCGGAGGTTGTGGTGAGGCAAGATTGCGCCATTGCACTCCAGCCTGGGTGACAGAGTGAGACTCTGTCTCAAAAAAAAAAAAAAAGAAATTATATGGTTTTGCTGTTTTGTACTAAATTTTTTTTTTTTTCATTTTTAAATCTTCCTCTTACTATCATTCCCAATTTTTTTTTTTTTTTTTTTTTTTTTTTTTTTTGCCCAGGCTGGAGTGCAATGGTGCAATCTCAGCTCGCTGCAACCTCCGCCTCCCAAGTTCAAGAAATTCTCCTGCCTCAGCCTCCGGAGTAGCTCGGACTACAGGTGCTCGCCACCAGGCCTGGCTAATTTTTGGATTTTTAGTAGAGACAGAGTTTCGCCATATTGGCCATGCTGGTCTCAAACTCCTGACTTTGTGATCTGCCTGCCTCAGCCTCCAAAAGTGCCAGGATTACAGGTGTGAGCCACCGCTCCTGGCCTAACTTTTTTTTGTTTGTATTTTTTGTAGAGACATGGTTTTGCCATCTTGCCCAGGCTGGTCTCCAACCCCTGAGTTCAAGGAATCCACCCGCCTCAGCCTCCCAAAGTGCTGGGATTACAGGCATGAGCCACTACGCCCAGCCTAGAATTTTCAAGTTCTTGTTCATTTTATAGAAGTACAATTTGGGTCTGGGAAGTGGTTCACGCTTGTAATCCCAGCACTTTGGGAGGCTGAGGCGGGTGGATCACTTGAGGTCAGGAGTTCAAGACCAGCCTGGCCAACTTGGTGAAACCCATCTCAACTAAAAATATAAAAATTAGCTGGGCGTGGTGGCACATGCCTATAATCCCAGCCACTGGGGAGGCTGAGGCAGAAGAATCGCTTGAACCTGGGAGGCAGAGGTTGCAGTGAGCCGAGATCGCACCTGTAGTCCCAGCTACCTGGGAGGCTGAGACAAGAGAATCACTGGAACCCAGGAGGTGAGGCTGCAGTGAGCCGAGATTGCACCACTGTACTCCAGCCTGGGTGACAGAGGGAGACTCTGTCTTAAAAAATAAAAATAAAAATAAAATATATAAATAAATAAAAGACCAGAGGGCTATGGGAGATGGTATATAAGTATAAAAGACATGCCATTTAAAGCCAATGGGAATAAGTTAAAAAGTTTTAAGGGCCAGGCGCAGTGGCTCACACCTGTAATCCCAGCACACTGGGAGGCTGAGGCAGGTGGATCATGAGGTCAGGAGATAGAGACCATCCTGGGCAACATGGTGAAACTCTGTCTCTACTAAAAATACAAAACTCAGCTGGGCATGGTGGTATGGGCCTGTAATCCCAGCTACTGGGGAGGCTAAGGCAGGAGAATCACCTGAACCTAGGAGGCGGAGGTTGCAGTGAGCTGAGACCACATCACTGCACTCCAGTCTGAGCAACAGAGCAAGACTCCGTCTCAAAAACAGAAAAAAAAAAAAAGAAAAGGCAACATTACACAAACACGAAACCTGCTAGAATGTCTGCCTCAGCAGATGCCAATGTCCTAAGCAGTATCTCCTAAACAATGGAAGACGCTCTGGAAAAGGGACACTGACATGAACAGATTACTTTTATTTTTTTATTTTTATTTATTTTTATTTTTTTTGAGACAGAGTTTCGCTTTTGTCGCTCAGGCTGGAGTGCAATGGCACAATCTCGGCTCACTGCAATCTCCACCTCCCAGGTTCAAGCGATTCTCCTGCCTCAGCCTCCTGAGTAGCTGGGATTACAGGTATGCACCACCACACCCGGCTGATTTTTGTATTTTTTTTAGTAGAGATGGGGTTTCACCATGTTGGTCAGGCTGATCTCGACTAACTTCAGGTGATCCACCATCCTTAGCCTCTCAAAGTGCTGGGATTACATGCATGAGCCACTGCACCTGGCCAGGAACAGATTACTTTTAAATTATGAACTACTTCATATTACAGTGAAAGCAGGTTTCTAAAGCTAACGAATCTGGACTGCATTAGAAATTGCTGTTTTCTAGAACTTTTTTTGTTTTTTTTTTTTTTTGAGACAGAGTCTCGCTCTTGTTTACCAGGATGGAGTGCAATGGTGGGATCTCGGCTCACTGCCACGTCCACCTCCCAGGTTCAAGTGATTCTCCTGCCTCAGCCTCCCAAGTAGTTGGGATTACAGGTGTGCACCACCGTGCCCAGCTAATTTTGCATTTTTAGTAGAGACGAGGTTTCTCCATGTTGGTCAGGCTGGTCTCGAACTCCTGACCTCAGGTAATTTGCCCACCTCAGCCTCCCAAAGTGCTGGGATTACAGGTGTGAGCCACTGTGCCTGGCTTCTAGAACTTTTATATCCTGTTGTTTTTAAATATCTAATGTCATTTTTTCTTGTTTTTCTGTTCCTTCCCCCACTTTCCACACGATCTTATCTTACCAACTACATTTTTGCCAGTGAAGGTAATCTTCAAGGACAAAACCTCTGGGACTGGCAAAGGATTATTGTTGCTATGTTACAAAAGTCTTCATAACCCCCTAAATTAAGGTTTAGCACTTAGATATTTCCATTAGAATATAAAATGTGGTGGGAAGAGATTCTAACACAAAGGCTATGAAGTTATTAATTATGGAAGTTTCTCTCTCTCTCTCTTTTTTTTTGGGACAAGGTCTCACTCGGTTCCCAGTCTGGAGTGCAATGGTATGATCACTGCCCACTGCAGCCTCAACCTCTGGGGCTCAGTCTCTCAAGCAGCTGGAACTACAGATGTGTGACACCATGCTTGGCTAATTTTTGTTTTTATTTTTGTTGCTAGGGGTTCTCATTATATTGCCCAGACTGGTCTCTAATTCTTAGGTTCAAGCAATCCTCCCACCTCAGTCTCTCCAAGTGCTGGGGATTATATACGTGAGCCACCATGCCTAGCCAGAAAAGTTTCTTATCATAGAAAAAAAAAAATTTGGCCAGGCGCGGTGGCTCAAGCCTGTAATCCCAGCACTTTGGGAGGCCGAGACGGGTGGATCACGAGGTCAGGAGATCGAGACCATCCTGGCTAACACGGTGAAACCCCATCTCTACTAAGAAATACAAAAAACTAGCCGGGCGAGGTGGCGGGCGCCTGTAGTCCCAGCTACTTGGGAGGCTGAGGCCGGAGAATGGCGTGAACCTGGGAGGCGGAGCTTGCAGTGAGCTGAGATCCGGCCACTGCACTCCAGCCTGGGCTACAGAGTGAGACTCCGTCTCAAAAAAAAAAAAAAAAAAAGAAAAAAAAATTGGGCTGGGCACAGTGGTTTATGCCTATAGTCCCAGCACTTGGGAGGCTGAGGCAAGCAGATCACTCAAGGTCAGGAGTTTGAGAGCATCCTGCCCAACATGGTAAAAACCCGATTACTAAAAATACAAAAATTAGCCGGGTGTGGTGCCACACACCTGCAATCCCAGCTACTCAGGAGGCTAAGGCAGGAGAATCGCTTGAATCTGGAAAGCGGAGGTTGCAATGAGCAACCTGCACTCCAGCCTGGGCAACACAGTGAGACTCCATCTCAAAACAAAAAAAAAAAGAAAAAGAAAAAAAATTTGGCAAGGCATGGTGGCTCACAAGTATAGTCCCAGCACTTTGGGAGGCTGAGGTGGACAGATTGCTTGAGCCCAGGAGTTCAAGATCATACTGGCCAACATGGTGAAACCCTGTCTCTACTAAAAATACAAAAAAACATTAGCTGGGCGTGATGGCAAGGGCCTGTAGTCCCTGCTACTCCGGAAGCTATGGTGGGAGAATTGCTTTAGCCCAGGATGTCAAGGCTACAGTGAGCCAAGATCACACCACTGCATTCCAGCTTGGATGACAGAGTGAGACCCTGTCTCAAAAAAAAAAAAAAAAAAAAGGATTTATATAAACTGTTAAGATTTTTTTTTTCTTAAACAAGAAATGCAAGGAATGACCCCCTACTACCACATCTAATTGAAGTATTTTAGGAAGAACATCAACTATAATTAAATATCATAGGCATTATTAAAACAAAACCAAGCACTTTCTTTAAACATAAGGTATTACTCTGACAGTCTCCATTATTTAATGGGAGAGGACATGAGACTGACTCCTTGACCAGGGCACAGTGACTCACATCTGTAAACCCAGCACTCTGGGAGGCTGAGGTGGGAGGATCGCTTGAGCCCAAGAGTTTGAGACCAGCCTGAGCAACAAAGTGAGACCCCATCTCTACAAAAAGTGAAAAAAACAGCCAGGTGTGGTGGTGCACACCTGTAGTCCCAGCTACTTGGGAGGCTGAGGCAGGAGGATCACTTGAGCCCAGGAGGTTGAAGCTCAGTGAGCCATGTTCACACCACTGCACTCCAGCCTGGATGACAGAGCAAGACCCTGTCTGAAAAAGGAAAAAATAAAATAAAATGGATTCTTCATGAATTAAAATGAGATTGGGAACTTACTGAACTTTTTCTAGTTTGGAGACAAGCAGCTTCTGGAATATTAACATGACAGTAACATGCATCTGTACTTCAGCAAGCATCAAGAAGAGGCCAAGGAGAATCTCCTGCTTACCCTGAACTTGAAACAGTTCATCCTCTTCCACCCAAGTCTCTTTTTCTTCAACCCCATTAGAGTTGTTCCACTTGCCTTTGGGTACTCTGAGGGGAGATCAAGGAGAGCACAAGGTGTGAAACAAATTCATCCTGGACTGTCCCAGATTCTGGCCTTGGCTCACTCTTGGCCCTGTATTCCTTCCTGTCCCATTGTGACCACCATCGAGGTTCGCCTGCATGCACCTCCCAAAGCCACTGTCCTTTCTCCTGGCTGGCCAGGCATCTCCGCATAACACCCCCCAGGCTGTCGGACACCCCTCAAATTCAGCACTAATTCATCAAGTACATCACTACCCCTCTACAAATCTGTTCATTTTCCTGGTTTTTGGCTTGTTTGGTTTTGATTCTATTAAAGGTCTCAGTATTTTCTGATTGGGAACCTGCAAACCTCCCTCTCTTCCTTGGACATGCCTTCTTCCTATATCTGGACTGATTTTTCCGTTTCCACTCCCCCTTGTTCAGGCTCACAGTGCCTTTCATCAGTATTCCACTAGCCTCTTAACTGGAGTTTCTGCCACTAGCCTCTTCCCCTTCCAAAGCCAAAGATGATTTTAAGACAATCATCCTAAAATTACCACATGCCTCCTCTACTCCCTAATGGCTTCTCTCTGCCTGAACAATGGCGTCTATATGCCTGTATGGGGGAGTCCAGACCATCCAGTCTGGCCCGTCAGTTTCTAACCAACCACCCCATGATGCCCACACCTGGGCAAACAGCACAGCCACACTGTTCTGCTCTTTCTTCCTCCCATAAGCTCTGTATTTTCCTGCCTCTCCATAGTCCCTGTGCTTGGGAGTCCATTCCCTGCTAAGTGACATCCCACCCATCTTTCAAGGCCATGGTTCTCAATGAAGCCTTCTCTAACTACCAACCCCAACACACACAGAAAGCCTTTCCCCTCTGGCCTGCAGTGCTGTTTCTACCATACCAACTGTCACTTTGCAGTGTGCCCCTAACCAGGACCACCTCGAAGATGGGGGCCACATCCTCCTTTGTCCATCCCAAACACATAGCACACTCAGCACAGTAACACAGATCCCAATGTGAGCTGGAGATATATTAGCTGAACTAACATTGGGATTGTCAGAGAGCCACAAGGGAATTATACTATCAAAGATTAGAGTAAAAAGCAAACAAGAATGCTCCCTGTGAACATGAAACAATTTAAGTGCTTGGGTGTGGCTAAAAAAAAGTACAAAAGCTGAAAATAACCCCAAACCCAAATTATTCAATGGAAATTATAGTCCATTTCTTCTAATCAACTTTGCATTTACCTGATTAATAACTGCCCTGGGAACAGAGCAAAGCACAAATCTGACCTCAGAATTATAACATCTTTTACAAACATGGAAAGTGTCTGAATTCAGTGTCTCGAAGAATTTATATAAATCAAATGACCCGCAAAAGTTAACCAAGAGTAGAGACAAATTTCTGTATCCTTCGCCCGCCATGAAGAAAAAACTTATTTTTAATGCCATTTGGGTATTCTGCAAATGAATAATAAAAGAAAATTGATGAGTAAGTACATACGCTTGAAAAAATTCCTTGAGTTCCATAAGTTTTCTATGAAATTGCTAAGTGGCTGAGACAAATGGTAGACCTTTCTCATTTTTACATTGAATCTTATCCCCAAATGTTACTTGAGAATAATTTGCTTGAGACAAAGTGAAAACATTTTATAGGAGGTTTTTCCTTCTCAGGATATTCTTGTGTTAATGACTATTTATAAATAAAAATCAGATGGGGTTAGTTTGTTTTCTATCTGCTTATCCCAGTGCTGGAATAAAACCAGTTGGAACCTCAGTCCCTGGCTGGTCCATCATGTTTCCTGAGTGGCTGTCCTCCCTCCCTGCAGTCTTCACAGGTCACCTTCTCCCTGTCCTCTGTTGAACTCTCAGCACTATTACCTGTACAAATATATGCTTTGGTGGTGATTTTGCAAGACCTCTGACTTTCAGGTGATGTGTTCACTGCCTCTCCTAACTTCCCATGTGGATGGGCCTGAGATCTGGCTGCTCCTCCTAACTGTCATGGGCTGAGTGGTCCTGGCCAAGTCAGGTCACTTCCTCGTCCTTGTGCTCCTGACTGGCAGTTTGAACGTGAAGAGCAATGGTGTAGCGTGGGTTGGCAAGCTACAGTCTGTGGCTGCTGGCTTGTGTACCATGAAGCTCGGGCTAAGAATGGCTAGCCCATTTTTGTAAGGGTTGTTAACAAAAAACAAAAAAAAAGACAGTCGGGGCAGTGGCTCACGTCTGTAATCCCAGCAGTCTGAGAGGCCCAGGCAGGTGGATCGCTTAAGTCCAGGAGTTCGAGATCAGCCTAGTTAACATGGTCAAACCCCATCTGTACAAAATACACAAAAATTAGCTGGGTGCGGTGGCACGCACCTGTGGTCCCAGTTACTGGGATAGGGGTGGGGATGGTGGCTGGGGCAGGAGAATCGCTTGAACCTGGGAGGCAGAGGTTGCAGTGAGCCAAGATTGTGCCACTGCACTCCAGCCTGGGTGACAGAGCAAGACCCTGTCTCAAGAAAAAAAGAAAAAGAAAAAACAAGAAAATAATATGGAGCAGACAGACAACACGTGTGGCCCAAAATGCCTAAAAATATTACCCTCCGCTGGCTTTTTACAGATGTTTTGGGTTCACTCCTTAAAATGCAAGAAGAAAGAATCCTTATTTTATTTGGTGAATAAGTACCTAGTAAGCACGTGCTATGTGCAAGGTGCTGTGGGAGATACAAGATAGGGGCATGGTGGCCCTGTCCTCCAGGTGACACCGCCAACCCTGCCTTCCCTCCTGATCCCACTGCCCCTCCCTGCTCCCTGGCAGCAGTCTCCAGTCTCCAGCCTCCCTCCTTCCCTCCTTTCCCTGAGTGGGGTCTCATCAGGCCTTCCAATTTGTTGAATTAGAATTATCTGGGGCATAGTTTAAAAAGCAGATTAAAGAGTATTCTCCTGTCTCTTCTAATTCAGTAGCCAGGAGCCTGGAAATATGTATTTTTTTAGCATTCCACAGGTTATTGTGTCATGAAGCCCGGCTTGAGAGCCTGTCTGACACACCAGACAAAAGAAATCCCAGGCCTGGCCCATCCAGCATGCAGACTCTCCTCCTTTCACTCTTTCCTGTGCACCGTATTCTCCTACCACAGGCTCCATGACACTCTGAGGGGCACGCCAGGCTTTCTCATGCCTGTATGTAAGGAGTTCCCACTGCCTAGAGTTCTCCAGCCCCCAACACGCTCGATGACCTTCTGCTCATTCTTCCCAGGCCAGCTCAATTTTTGTTCCTCTAAAAGATCTGAGCCACCTAAAACCTTGCTGAGTAGGCTCAGCTTTTCTTCCCATAAGCAGCCAGGGCACCTCACACATACTTCTTTAGAGCAGGGACACTGACTCTTTTTTTCTGTAAAGGGCCAGATAGTATTTTCACTTTGTAAGCCTTACTGTCTCTGCTGTGATTACACAACAAACTACCACTGAACAGAAAGCAGCCCTAGATAATACATTGATGATGGGTGTGACCATGTTCCAATCAAACTTTATTTACAAAAACAGGCAGCAGGCAGATTTGGGCCCAGGGCCACAGCTTGCCAACCCCCGCTGCTTTAGGGGACTCATTAGACTTCATATCCTTGACATATGAGAGAGGATGTATGTCTCAAACCTTCACGAATCCTCCCATTTACAAAATTACTGTAATCCCGCACTCTCCCGTTTCCTCATCTGTTTCCGGGAGCAATACCTATACTGCACAGGATTGCTGTGAGGAGCCAATGACATCCTATATCAAATGAGAATAACGTGCGTGGAGCTGCATCCGCTGCCCAGCAGCTATGCCCATTTGCCAGCCGGACTCACTTCCAAATACTAGTAGTGGTGACATAGTGCAAATCTGTACCTGAGGATAAATCACTTATCAGATGCCACAGCCTTTTGGGGCACCGAGTACAATGCATGCCAGAGCACAGGTCCCCAAATACTACAACATAGAGCAGTGGCAGAGGTGGCCTTGGGAGATCCATGAGGTGGATCACTTACAGCAGGGAAGCGCTGACCAGGGAGGAGTCTATGGAGGACGGAGAAGTTGTTTTTGTTGTTTTCTTTTTTTTTTTTTTGAGATGGAGTCACACTTTGTTGCCCAGCCTGGAGTGCAGTGGTGTAATCTGGGCTGACTGTGCAGCCTCCGCCTCCCGGGTTCCAGTAATCCTCCTGCCTCAGCCTCCCAAGTAGCTGGGACTACAGGCGCCCACCACCACACCTGGCTAATTTTTGTATTTTTAGTAGAGATGGAGTTTCACCACATTGGCCAGGCTGGTCTCGAACTCCTGACCTCAGGTGATCCGCCTGCCTCAGCCTCCCAAAGTGCTGGGATTACAGCCGTGAGCCACCACACCCAGCCTGAGGAAGGAGAATTTTAAGAGAGGCAACTTGTTGGTATACAGGCCATGGGCTTTTCTGTCAAGACTGACTTGGATTAAAACTCCCAAAGCCCATCTTTGCCACTTTTAGCTGTGTGACCTCAGGTGAGCTAAGAACTTTTCTGAGCCCTTCTCCTCTGTGTAACGGGGTTAATATATCACATCACAGAGTAAGGACTGTAGCGACTCAGTAAGATGACACATGAAAGTGCTCTGCCCCCAGAAAGCACTTCATCAACAACGGCTTCTCTTCCCTTTAAAGGACAAATGGCATTTGGACAAGCAATGATGGAGGTATGACGGTTCACTGTGGGGAATGAGAGGAAGCAAAAGTACAGTGGTAGAAACAAATAACGTGTTCCAGAGAACAAGCAGGCCAGTCTGCCTGGAAGCAGGATCCGCCACAGGACACAAAGGGAAGCAAAACTCAAAGCCAGGATGAGAATCACCATGGGGAGCAAAATTAAAGTATTCTAGCCACTGCCCCACAGTACCTAGCAGGATATGGGAGATTAGTAAGTATTTACTGAACTTGCCAAGTCTCAAATGCTCAGAAGGGTGCAAAATTATACATATTCATCAGTCTCTTTTTAAGGGTCAAAGTATAATGTGGCCCAATGCAAACAAATTTCTTTTAACACACAAGACTAACGTTTAGAAGTCAAGACACTCAGATGTTTGCTAAAAATGAAAGCGGCGATGAGTAGGAGACTCTGAAACTTTTCCATCCCCACTCATGCCCTAGTGCAAGGCTTGGAAGCCCACATGTGGGGCTTCAGAACCGGCAGGGATGGCTACGTCGTCACTGCCCGCTCCTGCGTCACATTCTAGCAGTCTGAGCAAGCCTTGGTGGTAACTTAGCTGAAAGTTACTTCATTCACGGAAGTAATACCAGGCCCAACCAGGACCACCAACCAGCCCCAAAATTTCTACAAACAAGGTCTTCATACTTGGGATTCTTCTCTCCAGGGAGGGGTTGGTTGAGAACGGTGGGCTTGGATGGTGGCGCTGGAGCGGCCTCCTGGGAGGAGTTGAGGCCTGCGCTGGGCTCAGTACTCTGGCTGTCCTCCTCCAAGACCAATCTGCTTATTGTCATGCGCTTGTTCTTGGGCTGCAGTTCCGAGCCACCCTCACCCTCAGCTGGGGCTGAACTTTCATTATCATCTTTTCTGGGTCTCTTGTTTTTGAGGGCTGGTGATGCTGGGGAAGCTTGAGTAGGAAGAACCAGATCCTTCTGGTCCAGTTTTGCAAAGGCTGCCTCAGAATCCTGTGCACCAGACAGAGTCTTGAAAGCTGCTTTCAGAGTCATCATTCCAATGGTGGTTGGAGGATTCCGTAGCTGCCTGCAAATAAAGCATAGGCACAAAGATCTTTTTCACCACTGTTGATGCTCATCCAAACGGCCACAACTTTTTTGAAGTTTGAAGCTTCAAATTAGATACAGCACTACTCCAGTTGAGGAGGCTTTAAATGTAATATGTAAGTTGTATTATGAATTTAAAACTCCAAGTTAGATAACCTTTATTTTACTTCTCATTTTATTTTTAGAGATAGAGTCTGGGTCTGTCCTAGACAGTAGACAGGACAGAGAGATAGGATACAGTGGCACAAACACAGCTCGCTGTATCCTAGAACTCCTAGGCTCAAGCGATCTGCCCACCTCGGCCTCCCAAAGTGCTGGGATTACAGGCCTGATCCACCACACCTGGCCTACAACACATTTATGAACAGGATCTTGAGAATTCTCAGAGTAAAAGACATGCCACACAGTCTTGAAACAATGAGAAACTGCCTTTTAAAAACAAAGTTCATCTATCATTTGGAACAGTTAGTATGCTTTAGGGAAAAACTGTTAGGAGAGGGCAAACTGGCAGCCTGCGGGCCAAATCCAGCTGCCAGTCTGCCTTGTTGTCCAACTCACATGAAAAAAATTCTTTTTAAGTAGATCAACTGTCAACATCCAAAAATTGGGAAATCTCACGGAAAACCCTGGACATCTCATACAAAAATCTGAGCACCTGAAGCCTGAGCATTCTTGGATACTCCCACAGAGCAACAACCACAAGAAGCGGAAAAGCAAATGCCCTGGTTCCTGGCCCCACGCTCTCAGCCTAGGTCCACTTTGTTCCTTTAGGTTTCCTACCAGGCCCTGAAAAGGCATCTAAGCTTGTAACCCCTGCTTTAGGAACTGGTTTTGGGATTCGACTCACAGATCTGAACAGTGCTTCCTGAATGTATGAAGAGATTAGGTGTCCACAAGGAAGTACTGAGTCAATATGGGCGAGGCAAGGAGAGAAATGGTGAAAGAGCCTTTGAGGAATGGCCAATCAGGAAGTTGTCAGGGACCCCAGGCGTCCTGTCTCCTCATCTTCCCAGGGTGTGCTGTCTCCCACAGTGCCCTGTACGAGTAACCTCGTAACACGTCAGCAGGTCAGATCGCCGAGAGGAACTGATCCTGCTCTAAGGAGGAGACTGCTTCCAACAACCACCCCAGTGTTCTACCCAGGATCACAAGAGAGCATCTTCTTCCAACAACCACCCCAGTGTTTCACCCAGGATCACAAGAGAGCATCTTCTTACCTTGTGGGTTCTCTGGGTGGCTTTTCCACAGGCCCTGGTGCTGGCTGTTTATCTTCCTTCCCTGGACTTGAGGCAGCGGACTCAGATTTCAAAGCCTTTTTGGCCATCTGGGAAAGGAAGGATGTCATCAGGAAGAAGAGGCCACAGAATTGCATTAATTCTCTGCTTCTTTCACCAAGAATATACTCAATATGCAAACAAGTTCACTTACAAATCCAATCTAGGTATAAAACGAAGGACATAAAATAGGAGAGAACTTATAAGACTTATAAATCAAGCTTTTTTTATTCAAACTTAAGATAACTAATAAATTTTTTTTGAGAGGGAGTCTTGCTCTGTTGCCCAGGCTGCAGTACAGTGGTGCGATCTCCGCTCACTGCAACCTCCACCTCCTGGGTTCAAGCGATTCTCCCATCTCAGCCTCCCAAGTAGCTGGGATTATAGGTGCCCACCACCATGTCCGGTTAATTTCTGTATTTTAGTAGAGACGGGGTTTCATCATGTTGGCCGGGCTAGCCTCGAACTCCTGACCTCAAGTGATCTGCCCGCCTCGGCCTCCCAAAGTGCTGGGATTATAGGCATGAGCCACCATGCCTGGCAATACATGCTTACACTAATATATTCCAGTTTGTGTATAGAATTTTTTATAACTGTTTCTACAAATGTGTTGTCTTATTAACAACTGTTTGAGAATCCTTATCTATATAACACAAAGAGCCCTGAGTAGGCTAACCTTGCTCTAACTCCATCTGTTCATCTGTCTCCCTTGGCTTAAGTTTTAGACATTTCCAATCAGTCCAGTGTCATTCAGTTTCAGTTGTTTATCTGTAATATGTGGTGTCCTAAAAGCTAAGAGTTCTGTCCACACACAGACAGCAGCAGGATATTTTCCAGTTACCTGGAATGGAAAGGAAAGGACCCTAGGCCAGGCTCAACTATCTTGACACCTGCTCCCTGAATACCCCAAACTACCTGCTTATAAATAATCTGAGATTTGCCAAACGACTGCTAAGATCATGAACACTACCCTAATATGGGCCTGGCAGATCTGTTATGAAACAGAATATTTTCCACATTCTCAAAGTCCTGGTTTCTTTTGCCTAGGCTGAAGTGCAGTGGCACGACCACACCTCACCGGCAGCCTCAAGTGATCTTCCCACTTGGTTTCACCATGTTGCCCAGGTTGGTCTTGAACTCCTGAGCTCAAGCAACCTGCCCGCCCTGGCCTCCCAAAGTGCTGGGATTACAGGTGTGAACCACTGCACTCAGCCAAAGTCCTGGTTTCAAAAACAAAACAAAACCACTCTCACTCAGTGTTCCTTCATCACAGCCTCCCATCTGTGACAGCCTGGGTCTAGTTCTTCCCTATGCTGTCCTGAGCCTCACTGCTTCCATTCTTTTATCTCTTTGATCCAATTAAAGAATGTTTTCATTTGGCTTCTTTTGACCTTATACTTTCAGTGACACCTTTCTCTACACCGTACCTTCTTCCTGTTAGCAACTCCATCGTACCATATCTACCAAACCACTCTTCCTCCAAACTTAGTTCACAAGTCATTGCCTTTGGGAACCACCATCGATTGTAAGCGAATGTTCTCCTTCAGCCATGGCAGATTAATCATGTATAAAGGAGATAAAAACGACAGAGGAGGGAGACCAGGTGTGTTCCATTTGCCTCTGCCAGTATCTGTGCTTTTGTATTTTTATTTATTTATTTTTTGAGACGGAATCTCACTCTGTTGCCCAGGCTGGAGTGCAATGGTGCAATCTTGGCTCACTGCAATCTCCATCTCTTGGGTTCAAGCGATTCTCCTGCCTCAGCTTCCAAAGTAGCTGGGATTACAGGTGCCTGCTACCACGCCCAGCTAATTTTTATATTTTTAGTAGAGATGGGGTTTCACCATGTTGTTCAGGTTGTTCTCGAACTCCTGACCTCAGGTGATCCACCCACCTGGGCCTCCCAAAGTGCTGGGATTACAGGCGTGAGCCATTGTGCCAGGACTGCTTTTGCATTTTTAAGGCATTTAATTAAGAAAGCTAGTGCACACAATTCAATGTCTTTTTCACACATTAACTCTTTTCACTTCAGATATTCTGATTCCCTGCACATCCTCAAGGGCACACCATGGTTATGGGAGAAGGGCCAAGGCGCACCGTGAGGAGGTAGGGCTCAGCGTCATCCAGGTGGCTCTCCAGGAAGCGCAGCATCTTCTGCTGGAAGGTCTCGTAGGAAAAGTTCTGGATGACAGGATGGGCCAAGTTCTTTTCTCGAATAATATTCAGGAGATCATTTCTCAGCTTCTACACAATGGACCGATATTTGCAACATGAGAAAGTAGAACTCCAGTAAAAATTCAATGATGATGAGGTGAGACAGACACTATGAGAACTTCTGCAATGCCGTCAATGCAAATCACTGGCACACATACAGGAAGGGAAGCCCAACACAAAGGATTGGTCAATAAATCAGGTTCAGCCACAGCGGGTTACTATGCAGCTATAAAAAACAGATGAAGAAGTTCCTTATGTGCTAACACAGAATTATTCCAAGATATAATATTAAGTGAAAAAAGCAATTTAGAAAAGTGTTCACATTAGTGTGTAGGATATGCTATCATGTGTATGAGAATGGGGAAAATGGATATATGTGGATGTCTGTATACACACACACACACAATTTGTTTGCACATGCATAGAGGATCTTTGAAAGGATAAAAGAAAAAAAAAAAAAAAAAGAAACCGGTTGCCTGTGAAGGGAAGAAGATGGCCGAGGGTCAGAGATGAGAGAATTTTCACCAAACTCTTTTGTTATACCTTTTGAATTCTGTATTATGTACATGTATTACCTTTTCAAATAATGAAATTTAAATTTATATAGAGGCCAGGTGCAGTGGCTTACGCCTGTAATCCCAGCACTTTGGGAGGTCGAGACAGGCGGATCACTTGAGGTCAGGAGTCTGAGACCAGCCTGGCCAACATGCTAAAATCCCGTCTCTACTAAAAACACAAAAAAATTAGCCCAGCATGAAGGCACACGCCTGTAATCCCAGCTACTCCAGAGGCTGAGGCAAGAGAACTGCTTGAACCTGGGAGGTGGAAGTTGCAGTGAGCCAAGATTGAGCCACTGTACTCCAGCCTGGGCAACAGAGCAAGACTCCATCAAAAAAAAAAAAAAAAAGTATATAGAAGAAATGGTTGGGCATGATGATTCATGTAATCCCAGCACTCTGGGAGGCCGAGGTGGCAGGATCACTTGAGCTCAGGAGATCCAGACCAGCCTGGGCAACATAAAGAGACGTTGTCTCTACAAAAAATTTTAAAAATTAGCCATGTGTGGTGGCATGCAGCTGTGAACCCAGCTACTGGGGAGGATGAGGTGGAAGAACTGCTTGAGCTCAGGAAGTTGAGGCTGCAGTGAACTATAATTGCAACACTGCACCCCAGCCTGAGCAACAGAGCGAGACTCTGCCTCAAAAAAAAATTTTTTTTTAAATGAATAAAAAGGAAGAAGAAAAAATAAAAGCAGGGGACCAACAGAACTGTTGACACCAGGAAACAGGTGCTATGTCCTCACCAGAGAAGCTTCCTCACATCTGCAGGATCAACATTTAATGTAAATAAAGTTAGAAGCATTACAACATTTGTCAGCTTCATACCCGGTACTGATCATTTAAATCAATGGTCTGTTATGAACCAGACAGAAATGAGGCAAGTGAAGAATTTATGTAAATTTCTCTAATGAAAACAATCTTACAGTGAGTTATCTTGGATATAAAAGGTAACTCGCTGCAGGTGTTACATGCTGAAAGGAGACTATTTAGGTAATATTCCTGACCAAGAACCCTTTCCTTGTTTTCCCACAAAAAGCAATGAGATGGATGTAAGTCACAGGAGCAAAAATGTATCAAATTTACCTGAGTTGTGGGGTCCTTGGACATATGTTTTTTCAAAATTTTTGAAGCCTTTTCAAATTCTTTGTTTTTGATACAAATAATGACAGCCTAAAAAGGAGGGGAAAAACCTTTTTTTACTTTTGTAATGACAGGTGTAATCAGAATATCAAACATTCTCTCACATTGTACCAAATTCCTGTACTTAAAAACTAACAATTATTAAGCCAGGCACGGTGGCTCACACCTGTAATCCCAGCACTTTGGGAGGCCAAGGCGGGTGGATCATCTGAGGTCGGGAGTTCGAGACCAGCCTGACCAACATGGAGAAACCCCAACTCTACTGAAAATACAAAATTTTCTGGGTGTGGAGGCGCATGCCTGTAATCCCAGCTACTTGGGAGGCTGAAGCAGAATTGTTTGAACCCGGGATGTGGAGGTTGCAGTAAGCCGAGATCACGCCACTGCACTCCAGCATGGGCAACAAGAGCGAAACTCTGTCTCAAAAAAAACCAAAAAACTACCTAACAATTATTGTTCAAGTGTTGTGAACCACTGGAAGCTGTCTCTTTCTGCTTGTAAGGGAGTCGCTTTTCAACAACACAATGGCTTTTGTTACATGGCTGATAGAGCAAAATCTGATCCCCTGGATTACAGACCATTTAACCAATTTCAATAGCGCCTCCTGAGGAAAGACGCAATGGACAGGAGTCATTCTAGGTCCCAGTAATTTCAGGTCCCCAGAACAATTGATTCTGTTCTTTTTGGATGCAAAAGCTTTAAAGCAAAGGGGGGATGAGGGAGGGAGGATATAGTGTAGGGGGAAAAAAAGGGATTTGCTGACCACAGAGTTCTGCTAGTTCCATTCTGGAAAGGCCTGAGGCCAGTTCTGTAGGAGAATGAAAGGACAACCCCTTACTACCATAAACCCCAGCTGGCAACTTCAATTAAAGCACCTAGGGAACTACTGAAGCCAACAAACCCAGGTCATTCACAAGCAGCAAATAAAAAGGGCAAAGTTCCAGGTAAGATAAGGTGTCATCAGTCACAGAGAGAAAGAAGAGTCCTTCCATAAAGAAACCTCAAGAGAATATACAGAGGAAAAATAACAGTGACTGAACACTTACAAGGAAGTTATAATACACAGGAACATTTTTAAAAATTAGAAGAGCCAAGAAAAAATTGGGAGTATCTGAAGTTATATGATAGAATAAAGCAGCTACCTCAAATCCTGTCTGAGAGAGATACAGATTCTTTAAAAAGACCACTATACAAAAAAAGGCAAGCCGGCTGGGTGTGGTAGCTTACAACTGTACAACTGTATTCCCACACTTTGGTAGGCCAAGGTGGGAGGATCACTTGAGCTCAGGAGTTTGAGACCAGCCTGGGGAACACAGGGAGACCCTGTCTCTCCCCCCAAAAAAAACCACCTAGCCAGGCATCTTGGTGTGTGCCTGTGGTCCCAGCTACTCAGGAGGCTGAGGTAGGAGCATCACTTGGGTCTGGGAGATTGGGGCTGCAGTGAGCCGAGATTGCACCACTGCACTCCAGCCTGGGCAAGAGAGACTCCGTCTCAAAAAACAACAAAAAACCCATAAGTATGTAGGACTTTTTTTTAAAGGATGTAGCCTTGAGCTTGGCTCCTTTCACGTTGTATAATGCCTTTAAGGTCCATCCATGTTGGTGCACTGTCAATAGTTCACTTTTTCTTGTTGTTGAGCAGTATTCCATTCCATGAATGTACTATAGTTTACACATTAATCCACTGAAGGACACTTGAGATGTCTGCAATTTATGGTTATTATAAATAAAGATGCTAAATCATTCATGTACAGGTTTTGATATGAATAGAACTTCTCATTTCTCTAAGGTAAATACCCAAGAATAGGATTGCATGGTCTTATGGAAAATATGTTAATGAGAAATGGCCAAACTACTTTCTGGAGTAGCTGTATCATTTCGCATTCCCATCAGCAATGTATGAGAGTTCCAGTTGCTCCACATCCTCACTAGTGCTTTTTAAAACACAGGCTGAGTGTGGTGGCTCACGCCTATGATCTCAGCACTTCAAAAGGCCAAGGTAGGAGGATCATTTGAGCCCCAGAGTTCAAGTCCAGCATGGGCAACATAGTGAGATCCCATCTCTATTTAAAAAACAAACAAAAAGTGTACATACTTATGTACAACATGATGTTTTGAAACATGGAACTAGCACTTTTTAGTTAGTATTTTTTTATTGATTTTTCTTGAGATAGGGTCTATATCACCTAGGCTGAACTCAAACTCTTGGCCTCAAGCAATCCTCCCACCTCAGGTACCCAAGTAGCAGGGATTACAGGCATGTGACACCAGGTCCCACTATCGGTATTTTTTAAAATTCAACCATTCTAATCGGTATTTGAATCTACTGTGGTTTTAATTTGTATTTCCTTAATGAGTAAATAATGTTGAACATCTTTTCATGTAACTTTTTTTTTTTGCCATCTGTATTCTTTTTGGTGAGCCTTTTGCCCACTTAAAACTAGGGTTGTATAGGCTCATTTCTTTTGAGAGCTCTTGGTACATTCTGGATACCAGTTCTTTGTCAGGCGTGATTTGTAAATATTTTCTCCCAACCTATAGGTTGCTTTTCCATTCCCTTAGCAGTGTTTTTCTCAGAGCAAAAGTTTAAAATTTTGATTAAGTCCTATATATCAATTTTTCTTCTTAGGAATGTTTTTAAATTCTTATCTAAGATTTTTTTGTCTAACTCCAGGACATAAAGATTCCTTCATGTTTCCTCTAAGTTTTATGGTTTCACATTTTACATTTAGATTATAATTTTGAGTGAATTTTTGTACAAGATCTGAGCTTACCGTCAAAGTTCATTTCCGCATATGGACATTCAATTGTTTCAACAACATTTGTTGAAAAGACTATCCTTTTCCCATTGAATAGCTTTCACATCTTTGTCAAAAATCAATTAGTCATATTTGTGTGGGTCTGTTTTTACATGCTCTCTTCTGTTCCACTAATCTCTATAGTCCTAAGTACTGTAACTTTCTTATAATTCTTAAAATTGGGTAGTATGAGTTCCACTTTTCAATATAACACTTTTTGGTTATTTTAATTCCTTTGCCTTTCCATACAAATTTTAGAATCAGTCATTCTGTATCTATAGAAAATCATGCTGAGGCCAGACAGGGTGGCTCAAATCTGTAATCCCAGCACTTTGGAAGGCTGAGGTGGGAACATCACTTGAGCCCAGGTGTTCAAGGCCAGACTGCGCAACATGGGAACATAGGGAGACTCCATTTTTACCAAAAACAAAAAAAATTAGCCAGGCAAAGTGGCACATGCCTGTGGTCCCAGTTACTCTAGAGGGTAAAGTGGGAAGAGCACCTGAGCCCAGGAGGTGGAGGCTGCAGTGAGCCATGATCATGCCACTGCCTTCCAGCCTGGATGACAGAGCGAGACCTTGTCTCATTTAAAAAAAAAAAAACACACACACACAAAGAAAAGAAAGAAAATCCTGGCCGGGTGCAGTGGCTCACATGTGTAATCCCAGCAAGCACTTTAGGAGGCCGAGGTGGGCGGATCATGAGGTCAGGAGATCAAGACCATTCTAGCTAACACAGTGAAATCCTGTCTCTACTAAAAATACAAAAAAAAAAAAAAAAAATTAGCTGGGCATGGTGGCAGGCGCCTGGAGTCCCGCCTACTCAGGTGGCTGAGGCAGAAGAATGGCGTGAACCCAGGAGGTGGAGCTTACAGTGAGCTGAGATCGCGCCACTGCACTCCAGCCTGGGCAACAGTGCAAGGCTCCGTCTCGAAAAGAAAAGAAAATCCTGCTAGGCCGGGTGTGACGGCTCATGCCTGTAATCCCAGCACTTTGGGAGGCCGAGGCGGGCGGATCGCCTGAGGTTGGGAGTTTGAGACCAGCCTGGCCAACATGGTGAAACCCCATCTCTACAAAAACACACAAAAATTAGCCAGGTGTCAAGGGACGCACCTGTAAACCCAGCTCCTCAGGAGGCTGAAGCATGAGAATCGCTTGAACCTAGGAGATGGAGGTTGCTGTGAGCTGAGATTGTGCCACTGCACTCCAACGTGGGCAACAGAGCAAGACTCCATATCAAAAAACAAAAGAAAATCCTGCTGAGATTGTGACTAGAATTGTATTAACTCCATAGATCAATGGGAGATAAGCGACATCTTAATTCATGTCTTCCAATCCATGAACATGGTCTGTCTTTCCATTTGGTCTTAATTTCTTTTTTTTTTCTTTTTTGAGATGAAGTCTTGCTCTGTCACCACACTGAAGTGCACTGGCGCAATCTCAGCTCACTGCAACCTCCACCTCCCGGGTTTAAGCGATTCTCCCACCTCAGCTTTCCAAGTAGCTGGGACTACAGGCGCACACCACCACACCCAGCTAATTTTTGTATTTTTAGTAGAGACGGGGTTTCATCGTGTTGGCCAGGATGGTCTCAATCTCTTGACCTCATGATCTGCCCACCTCAGCCTCCCAAAGTGCTGGGATTACAGGTGTGAGCCACCATGCTTGGCCTTACTTTCATCAGCATTTTACATTTTTCCACATACAGTTCCTTCACATTTTGCTAGACTTACATGTATTTATTTTTCTTTCTGTTTTGGAGCCATTGTAAATGGCATTGTTTTGGTAATGTCATCTTGAATTGTTCACTGCTAGTATATGGAAATATGACTGACTTTTCCTTTTTTACTTTAAAATGCTGTTTTCATGTGATGTATGACTGATTTTTGGGTTGATCTTGCTAAACTTACAGGATATTTTTTTTTTTTTTTTTACTTCATGGGATTTCTACATAGTCCTGCCATCTGCAAAAAGAAATAATTTTATTATTTCCTCTCCATTCTGTACGCTTTTTCATCCTTGCCTTATTGCACTGGTTAGGTCTTTCAGTATGATGTTGAATACAAGTGGTGAGCACTCCAATTTTTACCATTAAGAACATTAGCGGCTGGGCGCGGTGGCTCAAGCCTGTAATCCCAGCACTTTGGGAGGCCGAGGCGGGCGGATCACAAGGTCAGGAGATCGAGACCACAGTGAAACCCCGTCTCTACTAAAAATACAAAAAATTAGCCGG